ATTTGTCAGAAATTTTAAAAACTGTATTTATAACTGTATTCTAGTTTTTCAGTAAATGCCTAAATTCTTATATAGAAAATTTCACAGTAAATTCCTAGATGTGTTATACCCCTTTTAGATTACATTACATTGTTAATTATACCTTTTAAATGATAACTTGAGGTAGAAATGTATAAATAAATATAGAAATCTAAAATGCAATGCCAAGCTATAGTCTAAATTTCATTTGCGGAATTATCATGTGTTGTGCTTTTGAACAATAAATATTGTTTGCTTTAAGTGGACACTAAGCTCTCATATCTGCTATATTAAAATTTGAAAATAAAGTCATTATTAAACATGTACAATCACAAGAGTAAATTAGAATGAAAAGAGTCTAAATATTCCACCATCAGATTTCCCTTACCAAAGAAAGAGAGTGAGCTTTATTAGCTTGGGAAGCCAACATTTAGAAGACCTCTGCCTGAAGAACAGCTAAGGATAAATGGTTCAGTGTTAAAGCTGCTTCACTGTAAGAGATCTGAAGCACTAACAGCACTGCTGAATACAGAATCTTCATTTCCTCTGGGTGGATTATCAGTACTAGATCCTGAACTAGTACTTAATGTATCATTACTACCATGGAAAACTTCTGGAAATAAAAAACAATAACTATATAGTCAGATGATAGTCCTAACATTTTCGAAATTATCAGTAGTACAGAGCATAAAAATATTTAAAAATCAATGTCACAGATAGCCTTGCGAAGCGAAGTGACATACGCTCACCAGTAATGTTGATTGCATGTACAAATCTTTGTTTGTAGTCCGTAGAGTGAGCACAAGTCAATTGATGCTATCAGTGTCCCTGATACATGTAAAAAATTTAGAAGTCCTCTTAAGATAGAAATCACTTGAGTTAAAAGTGGGACTATGCAACATAGTTCAAACTTTGTGTAACTCAAAAGCAGAAATAAAACTAATAAAACTGAACAGATAAATCAAAGACAGAATGCTGACGACATAGTACAGGCAATAAATATGAAATGAAAAGCAGATAAAGAAATAAATAAGCAGGATTCACACAAGCGACACTGAACTAGCTTATACACTTCATAATAATAATAAAAAATAGTGGATCAGATACAAATTCAAAGCATTGATATGAACCACATAAATGGGTCAAAACAGAAATAGATTTGTTTCATATAAACAGGTAAAATTGAAAATATGCTTGGATAACCCAGCTGATAAAAAAAATTGCAAAATGAACTAATTGACATAAATTGACAAAGAGAGAAAAAACATATTTCATAATTTTGAAGAGCATTAAGAATAAAATGTACCCAAACAACCTACTATGAAACCACAAAAACACTAATTAACTGTAGAGGTGTGTCTTTAATACATGAAATACACTTGAACCTGTATAGAAACACTAATTTTTATATTTTGTTATCTTAATCTGCACTGACTAGTATCAATAATTAGCTATTGAAATAAATGAAGTGGTCAACGGGAGTCATTTTTGTTCAATAGACAGAGAAAGTGTCAAAACTCGGTAAATAATAACTAAGATTACCCCTAATGATAGTCCAAAGTTACAGAAATAATAGCCTCAAATTTGTCGCCAATGAGCATTTAATTTCTGACATCTTTATAAAAGTAACTCAAGGACCTTTTGGATTATCAATACAAACTATCTTGACTTGTTGAAAATGAAATATAATAAACTAAAATTATCTGCATTGAATAATAATAATAATCACAATAACAGTGAACTCTTTTTTAAGGAGGTAAAAAAGGTGAAAGTCATTTTAGTTTACAAAGCTGACACTGGGTTATTAGTGCCAAAATTATGATTGTATATCACTGGAGTAAAAATTATTTAGAGTTTCTCAGGAGTGACGACAATGTCACTGAATATTGAATGAAAAAAGGTATGAAGATTATGAAAAAGATAACATCTTAACATGGCCCCCTGCTTTACAGCATTTATCTCTTTCAAAAAACATAGGGTTATTTTTGTTCAGTAGGTGAAAGAAGGGTAAATTTGTTAAATAATTGTTGTGGCCTACGCTAATTTGAGAGGATTTCACACCTTGATTACCAAGCCTAAAAGTTGTGGTCTTCTATCAATTGACTGATTCACATATTTTATATTTTCAATATTTTATTTTATTTAAAGTGCATTACCAAACCGTTATTTTGGAGTAAAGCCTTTGTATTACAGTTAGGATCGTTGGTGCTGGAAGTTGTTTTAAAGCACAGAATGTATTTCTTATTAGTCCAGATTTACAAGTTAAGCTATGTATATTTGTGTTAATTGTATATTTTAACTATTATTTGTTTGTTTGTATTATTAATAGCATATTTGATCTATATATGTTGTATATTTGCATAAATAGTAATAATTGTTACTGTTAGTTGTATATTTATTTTGTACTATTAGCTACATATTTGTTGTGTGTTTGTATTATCATTAGTTGTATATTTGTTCTATTAATTGTGTAATTGTACTTTTGGTTGTATAATACTATTAGTTTTATATTTGTACAATTTGTATATTTAAACTATTATTTGTATATTTGTACTATAAGTTATATATTTGTACTTTTAGCTATATATTTGTTGTGTATCTTTGTACTTTTAGTTATATATTTGTTCTATTAGTAGTATTTTGGTCTTATTAGTTGTATTTTTTGTATATTTGTATGCTTGTGTTTATGTTGGAATTGTCTTTGGATTGGCATTTATATTTGCCTGACTAAAATGTTCCAACAATCCATTTAATTTTCATGTTACCTTCTACAAATGACACATCAGCACAGCATGGCATTTAGTTCAATGTAATAACTATTTATTGATCATTTTTTTGGTGGAAATCACATGTCAATAATAATTATCATCCAGACCTTAAACTTATCTTTAGACACATTCAGGTGATAATTAACTTTTAACCCATCAAGTACATTATCCTCCAACCTTAATAATACCCCTTTCACTCTTAATCATTCAACTTTATCTTTTAACATCAGCTAGTAAGGTTAGGGGTTAATTCAGGCCATGATAATAAATTCAATGTGTGCTGCTTTTCATTGTAATGTTTGAATATTTCTATATCGCTCTACAATTGATGTATTGAGCACTATTTTAACAGTGATATTTCTATATCGCTCTACAATTGATGTATTGAGCACTATTTTAACAGTGATATTTCTATATTGCTCTACAATTGATGTATTGAGCACTATTTTAACAGTGATATTTCTATATCGCTCTACAATTGATGTATTGAGCACTATTTTAACAGTGATATTTCTATATCGCTCTACAATTGATGTATTGAGCACTATTTTAACAGTGATATTTCTACATCACTCTACCATTGATGTATTGAGGACTATTTTAACAGTGGTATTTCTATATCGCTCTACAATTGATGTATTGAGCACTATTTTAACAGTGGTATTTCTATATCACTCTACAATTGATGTATTGAGCACTATTTCAACTGATATTTCTATATCACTCTAAGCAAAGATTGAATCTGCTGGTTTTTAAAAAAGGTACAAGGGTTGTTTCTTGATAATATGGAGTTATTCTATCATCATATCTAAATTGATCAGGTGAAAAAAGGTTGAGTGGCCTAGAAGAAGAAATCAGTGATCTGTGACTTTGACTGTGCAAGAGCTCCACTAGATTACCTTCCTTGCTCATACTTTATCTTACCCGACATCTCACTTTTTACACGAAAAACTGTTTCTAAATAGGTTTAGATGTTGTCTAAATGGCATTTACATTTGAATGTGGCAAGTGTCAACAGATTTCAAGCACACTGTCCTATCAAATTTGAATATTGTCCATATGTTAAACACGAGTGCCTATGTTTCTGATTGAGATCTCCTTGTTCCTTATTTCCCATTCAAATTAACAATTTTGTAACAGGGATGAAAAAAAAAAACCTGTGCAAAAGATTAACACGTTTGGTACAGGCAATATGGTTTAGCTAACTATTGTAGATACCAATCTGAATTAATTATAGCTTGTGACAAAAGGTTATCGCATCATCATCAACTTTTTCATCTAGGTTATCTTGTACGCTATCTCATGACTTGTTAGGTAACTGATTTTTAAAACAGATTTTCCAAAAATTTGTACGAACAGATTTTAATGGAGGACTTTCATATAAAAATGAATTATGTTAAGCATTATATTATACAGTCTCATTATACAATTATACAAATCAAAAGTCTTTGTACAATGGCTAAACTACTATAGACACTGGTTTAACACAGTCACAACCCTAGGAAAAAAATACAAACTTACATAAAAAATATACAAGGTATACAATTACAATTAAACTAAGTAATCAGCAATATATATATAAATGAGTGAAATGGAATAAGCTACAGACTGACAATCTTTAAAGGGATTGTACAGAGGTTTTCTAAATGTTTTATGTGCATCAGGGACACTGATAGCTTCAATTTGCACCATTCTCATGTTTTTTGGTTTTTTTTACATTGATTTGAATAGGGTATTCAGCTGTTCAGTTCAAATCCAGTTCCCAAAGCTTTCATTTTGATCAGACTTTTATTTACATCATTTATTTTTTGTTTGACAGTATTTACTTGATTTTGATATTTTCATTCCATTACACTTTTTTTACATTAGTTGTCAAATCACACATAATCAGCCTTCACAGATAGGGGGCGACTGTCTTGGGGGACAACAATCTGATTAATGGTCCCATGGGGGTCTGAGGAGGTTTGTCCAAAAGAAAAATTTGGAAAAATAGAATTGATTTGGTGCATTCTACCACATATTTTGGGGCAAAAATGTATATGTATAAAATTTAAATTTCTTAGAAATGAATAGGGAGTAGGTCTTATAATTCACACTATTTTCCTGCCCCTCTGCAGGTACTCCCACTGGCGCTACCACTGGTCAAGTCATCAACAGCGTCTATGGTATCTGAGGCTAGACAAAGAACTATTTTCCTACTATTTGAAAATTAACTTAAAACCTACCTTCTCTCATGGTGATGTTTGATGGTCCACAATCTTTCATGGGTGATTCTACCATAGCATCAGCTAAGGTCTCTCTTAGTCTTTCTTCTTCTTCTTCACTACTTCTTGGCTGTCTGGACATACTAGACTCAGCCCATGGGCATAATACATCATTTAGGTTAGGAGACTGGTCAAAGCTGCCTACAATTGTCATTGTGAAGAAGTGAAGAGGAGCACAAATTTATGGTTCAAGGGAAGTAACTCAATTATATTGGACTCAGACCACATTTCTATTACCATATAAAAAATGACTTTTCCACTGATTTAACTTATTCTAAGAAATATATAATGCACATTTCATCTTCTTCAAATAATATTTTCTTTACAAAATTGAGTTATCTGATATATTTGCCATTATGTTTAGACAGGTTGAGATAGAACTAACAATAATCTATAGCTGTGCTTCTCAACCTCAGTGAGATCATTCCTTCTCGAAAGAGTTCTTCCAAATCTAATTCTCCCCAAAATAATTCAATCATTTTGAAACAAATTTTACTCCAAAAATGTATTCAACAAATTAAATATGAATGGATATAAAATTATACTCCACATATTAAGATAGATCAATGTGACCATTGGGTGGAATGTCGTTCACAATTTTCTTAATGTCCAGGGTGAATGACGTCAAGTTGCAGTCATAGATAACCTTACCTCCCCTCCCCACCTGGAAATAATTCCTTCCCTATTGAGAAACACTGACCTATTGTATCCTTATGTTGTATTATTAAATCTATATATCTCACCTGCTTCAATAAGTAATGGTGATATATGTGGATTAGGTGACTGTATATAATCACTTGCTGAGGAACGTCTGTAAGCTGGTCTTGCTGTTGGCATGGCAACAGGACTAGATCGATTGGGCTGTAGCCTAAAATCAAAAACAATAAATGTAAACTAATATTAAATAAAATTTTGCTCATCCATTGAGTGCACAGTTGACTTTAAACATCAGATTAAGAGAGTCTGAAAGTATCATTTGTGTCGAGTGAAATCCCCAAAAAACAAAGGAATCATTAATAAGCAACTTCTTTTCATAATTTCAGAATTTTTATAAGTAGACTTTACTTACTTTAAACATTCGAGATCACAATCATCAGGTAACATATCCATTGGTAAAGAATGTTGATCAGGACTTCCAGAAAATAATGACGAAGAAGTTGATGACAATATAGTTGTGTTCTGGGGGTCTTGGTAAGTTTTAAATGAAAATTGTGGTCCCATCCATAATCTTCTGTGTGGTCCTACATGAGTTATGATTTCTACCTGTTGAAAAAGAACAGTAAAATTTTAAAAAAGCAAATGGCTGGACACGAATATATTACCTTTTTTTGAGTCTTGAATATATGTAAATAGTCTCCAGAAGAACTAGAAATAATTCCTTCAAAAATACCTCAAACTAGGAATTTCACTTTCTATATATGGCTGAGTCTCAGAGTTGTCATTGTGCACCTTTCCCTTTACGTAGCCTAATGTAAAACCAGGATCCATTTTTCTAACCCTAAACAAATTTAACTGGATTAACTAAAGACTTACTTGTGATGACCATTGTGTATCTAAATCTTCTTTACTAGTATTACTATGATCTGATGATAAGCTATCTTTAGAACCATGTCTTGATACTGGTACTGACTCATCTAGAGTAAACACATATTGTGTTCTTATTATAAGAAGGCATACTGGTAAATAGGGGACCAAAAATCCTGAATCCTGAATCCCAGGATTTGGCTCAATTTGTAGACAAATTAAGTATGATAAAAAACAGTTTCAAAACCGAAAATCCGGATCGTAAGATCTTAATCTTTGATAAAATGAAGTAATCATCAAATATATAGAGTCTGACAAATCATGTGATACATTAATCATACTTTCAAAAACTGGCCTGAGAATCAGAGATTGATTCTCATGAACATATTATTCACATAAGGGTTGGAGATAAAAAAAAAAAAAAAAGGTGAAAATGATCCAATTGTAAATATATAATTTAGATTTGCCATGTCTTAATCCAAAAATGGAATGATTGAATGAATAAATAAATGAATGAATACCTGTAGATATTGTAGGCTGTTGAGTAATGACAGCATCTGTTGCCAATAGTAAAGGACTATTACTTGGTAAAGGTGGCTTCATTTCAGCTGATGTCTTGGATCTAAAGAAGAAGAATCCATTTGAATATATAAGGAAGACAGGGAGTCTAGGGGTGGCTTAGACTCCCTACTTTAAAAACTGTGCATTAGCCTGCACATCTTAATGTACAATACAATGTAGCCTAACCTCAAGGTCTTCACGTGTCAACAGTAGTTATATTAGTAAGTATGCCAACTAGATGTCAACCTTACCTTTGCAACTGCCACTGAATGACTCCTGTACAAGTAAGATTTTGAGGTGTGTCATCAGTAGCTTTCTTAGCTAGAATTTCAATCTTACCATTGTAACTGCCACTGAATGACTCCTGTACAAGTAAGATTTTGAAGTGTGTCATCAGTAAATTTTCTTAGCTAGAATTTCAATCTTACCTTTGTAACTGCCACTGAATGACTCCTGTACAAGTAAGATCTTGAGGTGTGTCATCAGTAGCTTTCTTAACTGGAATTTCAATCTTACCTTTGTAACTGCCACTGAACGACTCCTGTACAAGTAAGATCTTGAGGTGTGTCATCAGTAGCTTTCTTAACTAGAATTTCAAACTTACCTTTGTAACTGCCACTGAATGACTCCTGTACAAGTAAGATCTTGAGGTGTGTCATCAATAGCTTTCTTAGCTAGAATTTTAATCTTACCATTGTAACTGCCACTGAACGACTCCTGTACAAGTAAGATCTTGAGGTGTGTCATCAGTAGCTTTCTTAGCTAGAATTTTAATCTTACCATTGTAACTGCCACTGAATGACTCCTGTACAAGTAAGATCTTGAGGTGTGTCATCAGTAGATTTCTTAACTAGAATTTCAATAGAACCATCAATAGGATATCAACTTTACCTTTGTAACTGCCATTGAATCACACCAGTACAAGTAAGGTCTAGAGGCGTGTCATCAGTTGGCTTATCTGTTGTTATCTTTGGATGAGGTTCTAGATTATACTCTATCAAAGTACCATTCTGCCCAATTACAAACAAAGAATCCACTACTTTCTTTCCACTGTGTTCTGAAGTGACAGCAGAAGCTAAGTGTCAATGGCAGTTAGAAATATTTACAAATTATATATGGGTTTTGGGGGCATCGCTACCTCAAAGATACAGGTACCTTCACTGTATGATGCAATGACATATTTCTCTTCACTTTTCCCAGGCGACTAGCCATCTGAATCTTCTCTCTGAGCTTATGGACAGGGTAAGAGATCACTCATGGAGAATGATCAAAGAGTGAAAATGCAGATGATTTAAAAAAGCTTTTCAGTAAAAAAACAGCAGAAGACCTACCTCTTCTTTCAGCTGCAGCTGTAGCAGAGGCCACAAACAATCTGGCTGGTGCAAAGAATGCAGATACATTGAAGATATTTTCAGTGGCTCCTGCTGAATGTGATGGACTTTGTTGTCTGCTACCAGTTGTCAGGGCTGGTAGAGCTAGGTGTTGGCGTAGTTGAGCTAAGGGGTATACATTGTTTGGATGTGGGTATGGTGGTAGTCTTGGGTTACCCATGTTGTTATTTAAAGCATTTTGTCTGATTAGACTAGGATAATGTTCATGACCTGTAAAATATTTCAAAGATTGTTGAAAGTGTACATCTTAACTCCCATTGACATTTTGGTCAATTGTGCAGGGATATGAAATGAAATGAAGTCCTAATTTTCTGCACTCGATTGAGCTATGAAGACATTAGGCAATGAAGGAAATTTGAAATTTTTGAATTAGACAATGACTAACATACCAGATGATGATGGACTACCAGACAATACAGGACTATTTCTACCAGCTGAAGAACTCTCAATATCACTTATTCCTGCACTCTTCTGAAACCTACTGACACGATTTACAACTCTAGCATGGCAGTGAGTTCTTACACTGACTTGTCCTGCAAAAAAAAAACAGAAAAGCTTACAATACATTTTTTAGATATCTTTAGTTAAGAAAGCCAAACGCTGCAATACCAAACCTCATGTTGAAAGTCTAAGCAAGAACAAGAACAAGCTTAAATACAACTACTGTTAAAAAAGTTCTGTTAACTGCCTTTCAACTGGGCTCAATTAAACAATTGAATAAAAAACAGAAATGTAACCATTTAAACGAGAACAACTAAAGCCAGTCTAGCTCTATAGCAGATCCATGTCATTTCAAAGTAGTCTGTGATATAGAACTGGGTTTATATTGAGACTATAAGAATGTCAAGTATACCTACCACCATAAGGAGTAATAGGGAATACATGGGTTGTACCACGATGAGTACTAACAGCTACCCACCGACTATCTGTAGTAAATGATATATCAACTACCTACAAGATGATTTTTAACATTTGAATTATGAAATGAGAATGCTCACTATGCTCTTATACGTGTTAATGTCGATTTCCAGATATACCATTTTAGCCTCATCATAATCATCATTTTTATCACAATATCAAACAATTATAACCAGTAATCATCAGCATCATCATAATCATTATTTTAAAAGTATCATCATCATTATAATCTGATTATCATGATAATTATCATCATGCAAATAATCATCATTATAATGTTCAAAACATAATTTTTATAGTACCATTCAACATTATCATCATCATCATCATTGTAACTATCATAAAATTATAAACAAGAACACTGACCTTAGCTGTAGTTTCACCTCTATGAAGAGTATAAAGATGATGTACTGCTCCTAAAGATGAACTACAGGGATGAGCCATCAGTCTAAATAGATGGAAGTTGTGACCAAGTTTACAAGCTGTTAATAAGAGTGTACCACTAGAATCAAATGACATTGCTGCTACTGGTTCATTAGTATGAGCATGAAAATGAGCTATCAGTCCATCACAATCTTGATCTTCATGTACACTGAACTGTAATTGAAACCAAAGAAGATTATCAGGGAATATCATGCTTTTAATTAAATATCAGTATATATCTTTTAGTCCTCAAATAAGATTTAATCATTTTTAAATCGAAATTGTCAATTTCAAGAAAGTTTGGATGCAGATCATTTTAGTGAAGTGAAAATTTTCTCATTTTAACTTAAAGTGAGTCAAAATATTTTGACAGGCAAATAAAATCTGAATATCAAAAACAATAGACTCATTTCTCTCAAATTTGACTTATTTTTGTTGTAAGGCAATTTTCAAAAACTTTTCAATTTTCAACACATTTTTTGACCAAATTCAACCATCCATATTTAGTATTTGACCTCATTTGCATATATTTTGTTAAAAAGGGGATTCGTGTAACAAACCATCAATAGTCAATGGGCAAAACCTAATTTCAACCCTTTTCTAACTAAGACAGACCCTTTAACTGACCTGTTTAGTTTTAATATTAGGTATATCAATAACTGAAACTATACCAGGATGATTACTATTATCAACTGGTGGAGTCATATCTTGTCTTCTAGTAGTTATTGATGGTTTATTACCAGTGACACTACTAACCATAGCTTCACCAAACATAGTTAACCCTTTAATAGCTCCCTGAAAATATAACATCTTGTATTCAAGACTTCATTTTAAGTAGTATCTTTGACACCAATTTTTTTTTTGTCAAGCTAGTCAGTCAAACTTTTCAAAAAATGGATCCAGGGTGTAAAGGATTTCACCTCAGATAGGTTTGGCTTTAATGCCACTCAAAAATAGTTATCTCATTGTCCAATAAGATATCTTAAACAAATAATGTTTAAAGATTTAAGATAATTAAGCTACAATTGGATAATATCTGTTAGATAGGTTAGGAACATCTAACTTTTGAAAAATTCAAAATTCAAAAGGTCAAAATTGTATATACAAGCTTCTTTAATATCAATGTTTGTTCAAGCTATAACAGTTTATTTTGAAAAAAACATATCAAAGTTTTAACAGAAATATCAAATTGAAGCTAATGTTGAAAATTGTTTTGAAAAGTCCCAATATAAAATATTCAACGTACAAGTTTATCATTATTCCAGCTTTTGAAAAAGATATCAAGCTCAAAGAAATATATTCTAGAGATATAATATGTAATATAGCAAACACCTGTATACATTATCCCAAATTTTAATGTTATCCTAAATTTGAATCTAAAATGCCTATCTGTTCCTGATTGAGCTTATAAAATCAGTCAACTCCATGCAAGTGGGCAATAATTTTCCCATGGACTACAACATAAACCTATTTTGTGAGATTTTGTGAGATTACATGCACAGTCACTCTGTAGAATATAGAGCCTAGTTAATTATCACATCTGAATTACTAGTAGATTGTTCCCCCTATCAGTCAACCAAATTGAAAAAATCTAAACCAAGATATAATAGATTATATAAGTAATTATATTAAAAAGAAAGCGTTTGTGATTATAAAATAATATTAATTTTAGAAAATAAATTAATTCTGCAAGCATAAGTTAATATATTTTAATAATAAAAAAAAAACAGAACACAAAAAGCAGAAATTCAATAATGAAAGGAACAGAATGCATGAAATTTATGAAAATATGAAATTTAAGAAAGACACAATTAGAAACAGCAAAATAGAACTGTTAGGCCATCCTCAAATTATTTTCTGTTCTACAGGATTTAAGACAATATAATGGGTATTAGTGAATGATAATACTTAATCCAACCAAGCCTTTTCTGGTGTGCAAATATAAAAGCCAATTTTTGCAAAAATAGTGTTATAGCTGTGCTGAAAAGGGATGGATATGTTATACGGCATCTTACAATGTCAAGCTATTATGAACATTGTCTTATACCTTGATTACAGTAGCCACCTTTGTTGTAACATTGAAGATTAATAATGCAGCTATTTGGTAGGATTGTACACTAACGAATACAGTCAATCAAAGCCCTTAACAATAAGCCATAACATTTACAATCTTTCTGTCAGGGGCTCTGATTGGCTGTATTCACTGGAGTAAATCAAATCCCTGCATTCTGAGATGTAAGAAAGGTGGCTGTTGCAGTCTAGGTATAAGATTTTGTAAACACAAGTTTTAGAATAAGAAATTTGAAACGCAAATGCTGTAGAACAGAATGTTAATTTTGGATGGCTTTAATAGTATCACTCATCCATGCCAACCTCACACCAGTTAGTACCCATACTCACTTTATTTAATACACCAAATTTCTAACAAAAAAAAAAAGTAAAAAGATAAGCAAATTTCTACTGATTTCTATTCTGTAGTACTACAAGTCTTAAAAGGACAGGTGCATCATTCTTCTTGAACAATCACACTTTAGTCTCAGAAACGTGAATATTTTAGCTAAGCCAATCAGTAGTGTTCACAGCTCACCGTCAAAATTTGAATCTATAAATTCATGTGTGTCCATAATTATCTACATTTGAATGTTAAAATGCTGACATGCTGAAGGAATTATGTGATTTTCCTACATTTCTAGTACTTCTGAAGACTATTTACATATTTTCAAAACTCCAATCAACCCCCAAAATGGTGCACATATCTTTTTAAAGACAGATTACAGGCCTAGACAATTGGGCCTTTATTGTATGCTCTTAATGAAAATAGAATTTCAAGAATAATACATCATGACATCATTAATATTTGCCATTTGTCTCTTCAGATTTTACTTAAAGCCAAGATCACAGCAAATCAAGAGGTACCCAAAGTCAAGTGACACGGGAACACTCAAAATCAAAAGTGAGTCAACTATCTGAACACCCCTCATCTGCTCAATGAACTATTCCGCACATGCATTTTCATAAAACTTAAGTCAATTTATTGTCCATCTTTTTTAACCAAAATGTTTTGATAAAGGGCAAACTTTTTAACATATTGCATATTGCATGCATCCTAATAAATAATTAATAGTCAACTTTTTGTCTCTAGAAATAGTTTTGCAAATGACTAAAAATATCTTCTGGTAATGAATTAAAATGCTGTTATACAATTGAAATCTATCAACTATAACTTTAAGCCAGGCTAAACATGCAATGGCATATTGAACTGACAGAAGCTAAGATATGATAAGAAATTGACAAGATATGTTAGGTTTGATATTTAGATCAATTGAAGGCATTGAGCTTTCTTACATTGCTACTTAGTCTGATAACTCTGGCCTTATATACATTTCCTTAAAGTGATATATGGCTGTGTTATCTCATAATGTTTAGGGTCAAGACATCAAAGGTCCACTTTAATGGGAATTCACTCAGACACATTTTACTATCACTAGAATACTAGACAAAAGCCACATTTGTCACCGATAATCAAAAAAAGACCTTGAATTGCAACTGATCACCCGCGGCATAAAATGCATATTACCAGTTTTTTGTGCTATATGTTTTTTTCTGAACAGTGCAACTAGATCTTGATTTAAAACAGAATGAAACAGATGTATTTGAAACATCTGATAGCAACACAATACCATATATTATATAATATAACATCTCAGTCCTTTGAATCTTATATTCTGAAGCCTTCACATAACCTAAATTTCACCCTGTGTAAAATCAGTAACAGGACTCACCTTGGCAGCACTGATAACAGTTGCAGCATAAGACTGAGAACCATCTCCTGACATTCCACCACAAGACTGATGGTATGGCACCAACTGAAATATTCAAAGATTAAAGATAATGGAAAAACTATTTTTCAAGAAATGCTGTCTCATGGCTTACCAATTGTAATGGAAAATTCGGAAAATATTTTTGTTTGGGCTTCAAGTCAATTTAAAATCCACTGATAGTTTGCACATCTTTAAAACTAATATCAAATTAAATCATAGTGAAGACAACTAAAGTCCTAAAACTTCATTCTATTAATATCTAGGTCACATATTTTACACATTTGTTTATACTATATGATATGTGAATAGTTAAGCCATCAGATCTATCTGGGACTTCAGATCCTTATAAGATCCTTAATTATTGCTTACAAATAATTTTCAGTGCAAATTGGAATCCCTTACTTTAAAGTATCAAACTAAGAAAACAATTGACACTTACTCTTCTGTCAGCATAGGCTAACCATCTAGTACCTAGAGCTATAGGGTTCATTTTAAACGAGGAACTAGGATAGCATCCTGATATTCGGAACAATTCCTGTAAATTCCAGGCATCAAAGACAGCTATCTTCTCTTGAAACACTACAGCTACATATCTAGAATTTTACAAAATGTTTTATGAGGGAGCATGTGCTGATTTTCTAAGAATAAAGATTGGGGTGGTAAATTTAACACAATTCTGATTATTTTGTTCAGATTTTCACTGTCATAAGTATTTTATCTATTGTTTTTGATGGGATAAAATGATTTTCTATGGTTTCTTTCATAGTATAAAATTTGATACCTTTTATTGGCCTCTATATTATGAACTGGTATTGTTTTAAATGGCACACTGTAGACTTCATCTCCACTTCTTAATGATACAAACTTTACAGAACAGAATGGCTGACCAGCACTGAAACACATCAACATTATTGAGATATAGGTTTTAGACGTGATCATTTTAAAAGCCCTATTCATTAACCCTTTGAACACAAACACAAAATAAAACTTTGTATGCCCTGAACTTTAACTCTATTTTAGCTGGATGATCTATTGATGTGACATTTTTGCAATTGGGGCAACAGCATGCAAATATTTTCAATTAGAAAATCTCGTATGGACATGCTGTACACACACATTTTGATAAAATATCAACAACTGTACATCTGCTTTAGAAACAAATGGAGATGGGGAATAACTTTCTAATATTATAACTGAAGTAATATGAGCAAAGTAAGCAAAGATGTTTCCATTTCTTTTAAAGTCCTATATACAAACATTAACCTTACTGTACCTTGATGAATCACAAACAGCAACAAGTGGTCTTTTCTTAGCAAAACTATCATTATCACAAATTCCTGAAAAATTGAGCAAAATAGATAAAGAGTTGAGCAAAGATCTTTGTGCACATCCTAATTTGATGCAAAACACTTACAGCAAAGCTTCTTTCTGCATGTCCATTTCTATTGAACATGTGAAAGATAGTTGTTTGGTCAAAAGCTGTTTGTTATACTTATTATCAATATACTCACCATTATCAGGGGTGGGTAAAACTTTTAAAATTCTAACTGGACCCTGTCTTAATGATAATATCTCTTGAGCATCTCCATTACTCTGTAAAATACAAGATGCCATATATAAATATCAAAATATCACAAGTCAGGTGCAAAACAAAACTTTCCTTAAGAATTTGTGGTAAATGACTAATTGTTAACAATGTTTTGTGTAAAAAACAGAAAGAAAGTCACATAATGCAAAAGCCATTAAAAATGTTTAATAAAAGAAAATGTCCAAAACATAAATTGGCAAATGCAAACAAATCAACTTACAGCTATATTCCAAATCTGAACACCATTATTATAGCCTAATACTAGTAACAGTGGTAATATTTTATGTTCACTGGAACCACTTAAATTAGGATTGCATGTAAAATCTGGAAAAGATAACAATTATTGGTAAATAAATAGCAAACAAACATTATCAGTTATGTGGACAATATAGAAGTTTTAAAACAAACACAATAAAAGTCGAGAGATAGACTGAATTTATTGAGTTGCAAAGCAGGAAAATCCTACCCCGCGATCGTATTGTGTTACAATGTGGGGTATAGGGACATTGTAGAATATACATTTTGATGGACTCATGAATGGTTCAGCTTTGTATAGTTACCAAAAGTTATGCCAAGTTTGGCTTTCGTCATGGTGAAAAAACTTGCCATCCAAAAATTGATCAACACTCATGAAAGTGACATTTATATGAACGTGATTATATCCCAACCATATATCATGTCCCAAAAGGGGTAGGGCTAGATAATCCACTTTTAGGCTCTCCAAGTCTCTTTTTTTTAAATCTAACAATGAAAATGTGCTATAATGTGAGCTTTGATATTTGTAGAGACCTACCATTTATATCACATCTTTCAAATTTCACCCACACTATCTTCTCTTTATCATCAGTTCTTTGATTTCCACTATAAGCCTGAAACAATAATACATTATCATGAAAAGCTATGATCTAGCAAATATAACTACAGTGTAGTTTGCGAATTCAGACAACATTTGAGTACCGGTAATTTGACAATCTGAAAAAGTTTCTGAATCAATTAAAAAGCAATTGGTAGTATTGGTACTGCAACATTATGAATATTATAGGTTCAGACACAAGTTAAAAATTCATCATCTACCAAGCTCAGACAGTCGTTGATTCTAAGGCATTTCTGTGTTATTTTGAATGGATGGTTGTTATATTAAGATAGTTACCTGAACTTGTGGAACAACATCTGATATAAATTCTACCACACTCTCTACTACAGACTTATCACTGAAATATACAACATTTCAAAATAAAGTACCTACAGTCTAACACCAATTTCGTTCAAAATAACTCCTAGGCCTATATCTTTAGATTATCATTATGAAAGGTGTGGTCTGACAGTGAACAACTTGTAAAGTTAATATTACAATCAGTATGAGTATGTACAGCTGTTTTTAAACAGAATAAGTGATAATAAGCTTTTAAATCACTGGTGATAACCTATAGGCTCTAAGAAATGATTGTGGTGGCCATAGGCCGAATGCCTGTTGGGTGTGAGAGGTCTGTCCACATTTATTCTGTTGCCGTCCGAAAAAATAATATCTTAGGGGCCTCCCTTGACCCCCTCCCAATCTCCTAAGCCTATGTTAGTTGCTAGTTGAGAGGGTCAGTTTGAAACTTCCCATTTTAGTGCCAGCTAGACACTGTTTCAAATGAGGAACCCCTCAAGACTTTATTCAAGTACCGTAACAATTCTTTCATAAACTATTTACATTCTTGAACTTAACCTTATTGATTGATATTTATACCGTTGATTTTGACAGCAGGTTAACACAGCACAATAAACTTGGTCTTGACATAAATGTTATAACCTCACAATTAGGCTACTCAAAAAAGATCATCCTTATCTTGGTTTAGCTTATAAATTTCATAAAAAAACAGGTCTAATAACGGTATGATATATTGAAAGTATATGCAGCTAGTAAGCACAAGATATTTGAATACTAAAACAAAGAAATGACAGCTAAAGATGGATCGCAATTTATTGACCTAGTTTTGACAAGTCAGCTGAAAAAGGTAAACAAACCTATAAGCTTGTGGTCGAACGACTGTGCAGTTGTACTTCGATGTTTTTCTAGGTGATTCTGCCGCCATCGTGGACTGCAGATGTGGTTCTAACTTCGAATCAACATTAGCAATGAAATTCTAACATTTAAATGCCTTTATTTTCAACTTATTGCGTAGAGAGAACCTGTCTTGTTATTTTCCACTACATGACGTCACCATTGTTTTGGTTTTGTCAAATAATGAAGAGTCAGGCAAGGGAAGCCACCCAATGACAGATCAAAGGAATAAGACTACAGTCATTAAGTAGATAATCTCAAGGATTCTATCATGTAGCCGAATACGTTAATCTGTTACCGATTAAGCAATTAACGCACACACTGATTCTTGTGTAAAAAGAAACCAAACTAATAGGTAGACTATCGAGAATTCCATTGCATGTCTTCTGCTTCAGTTAAAGAAACTTGTTACTTTAGGCAACTTGGTTTTTAATCTGTTGCTTTTGTTCGTTTGAACCTTGTTTAATGGAAAAATTTCATGAACAGTGAAGGGGGAAGCACATACTGCCACTTTAACCCTGTTCCTTAAAAGGCTGTACATGTGTGCTATACTTGCAGGTCCTCAGTGTACCCAGATGTACTGGAAAGTAGGACATGAAATTTCAATTTGATGCATTAGCTCAATGGTCCTTTTTCCATTTTTTATCAAAATTATCAAAAATTCTTGGATGCACTCAGCATCAAAAAACAACCTTTTTCAATAAATTTGGATAATTGAAATTTATTTCAAGTAATTCTATATCATAAGTGATCATACTCAACATTAAACCAATTTCATTGATAACATTCAACAATATAATAACTTAACATCATACAGAAAACAAACATCCAACTTTTCATCAATATTGTCATTGATAGTTTAACCTTTTAATCTCTAGTATAGTTAAGACTTATCTGTAATTTTCAATTGTCACATATGGTAAAATCATAGCTTCCATGCAAATATAGGGTTAGTAACATGCTGGTCAAAGGTTGCTTTAATAGCTTTTAACAGGCCAAAACTGTTATTCCACTAGAATTCCATTCAAATTAAAATATGATATCCCATTCAACTACAATTAAATAAATTTCAGACTGGACAATCTCCCTACAGATATTCACAATGGCATCCAGATATCTTCAAAAGATTTTTAAGAAAGTTTGCTGCCTTAAACACAAGTTTAACTATTTACAATAACAAGATGTGGAAAAATCTCAAAACAGATATTTCATAACAATTTTTAAACATGAACTTTTTTACAATTACAAACTGAACTATCATAAATATTTGAAAGTCATGAATGAATAACTTTAAAAATACAAAAACTAAGTGAAATATAGCTTGCAAGTCAAGATAACTTATGCCCATGTCACAACAATTGCTCATAAGGGCAATAGAAATATTTGTGGGCTTGCTACTGATTTAGTGACGTAAGACCTGAAGTAAAAATTAATTATAAGCTATTGCTTTGAAGAAACATGATTCAACCTAAACAGAACTAGGTGTAACCTTTTTTGTTATAGTGTTGCAACAATATTTGTGCACATTCAAAAGTGATTCAAAACAACCACGAACAGTACATATTATTTTGAGGTGGTGAACATCATATAGATCTGAGAACAATTTCTGGAAAACTTAAGGGTTGAGGGTTTTGTAACTGTAGAATATTCTCAGTGTTGTCTCCTCATTCCTGTTCAGTGACTTTGCTTATTTCCTTCAGATGCCTAGAGTATAATTTTAGCCTCACTTTCCAAAACTAGCTATCCAAATAAGGGATTCAAGAGATCTAAAATTAATTTCAAAATTCAAAATCAACCAATCAAATTAATGAATTTAAAATCTGAATTTCATTTTAGTAAAATACTATTTACTCAAGATTAAAAAGAATGCTTGTGTTAATGTTTTGAATTGTATGCCACAAATATATTACATTGATATACTAAATTTCATAAATTTTGAAGCTGACAGATTGTAATTGCAGGGTATACTGGTGTGTTAAAATTAATTAAATATCTCTTTAAATTTTACAAGATTGTCTGAAAAACCCATCCTTCGCAAAACAGAAATCCTGCGTTGCTGAATAGGATAAGAGTAACAAGTTACAATATGAATTCCTGAGGCCATGCTCTTGAAAATGATTGAAATGAGAATGCACCAATCAACCGAAAATGTAAACAATAAATACGAGAATTAAAGGGACACGATCTTCTAATTCATTAATTTTGAAGATTTTATCCCTTTAAAATGAGTAATAATAATAAATGATATCACAATATTTCTGGAGGTAAAGGAATACTGATTGAATCACTGCCATATTTAATTCGTAGCTTGGTTGGCTTCCTGACCATTGGACACAAACTGGGCATGGAACTGTCAATTGAGTAAAACGTGTTTGTTCCAATCACGGAAGATTTACCATTCTTTAATTTCGGACTGGATTCTTTTTTATGATTATTGTTATTATAAAATGTTGAACATTGGTCCTTTGAATCACTGGAGTCATCAAACCATTTAAATTGAACACTAGAAGAGGTCAACTTTTGATTTTCAAGCTCCTTCTGAAGGATGGGATCCTTACGAAACTTAATGGTCAATTTTGGCACTTTGGCTATAGGTCTGCTATCACAGATAGATTCCCATGAGTCTTTTGTTAACCGATGCTTGCCATTTGGCAACAACGGTTTGACCCGATCTAATTTTGGTAGACTGTCTATTGAACTAGATGAATTAGCTGGAGATCTGTTAGCTTCCAAGATTGGCATCTCTTGGAAGTTGTGGTTGGCTTCGATGATGTGGTTGACTTGAATATCGTTGACTGTCTCAAGATGAGGAGGTGATGATGATTTGGAAGATTTCTCTGTCATTTGATCAAATTCCTTAGTTAAATTGCTGCCCTTTATGGGAAGTTCCCTGGATGGTTCAACATTTTCTGAGCAGATCTTCCTGAATCTGGGACTGTACCTTGAAGGCTTTGGGGATTCTCTGACGAATCTGGACTTCGTAATTTTGGGTGTGGATACTTTCTGATATGGTTTAGTAGATTTGTTTGGAAGTAAATTTGAATTGACTATGGTGTGATTGTTGTTTAAGTTCTGTGCCCGTTTTCTGTTCTTTTTTCTCCTTTTGTTAATTAGCCCCTTGGAAGCTGTTCGAAAGACCTTAGTTTCCCTGAGATTTGGATTGGAACCCTGAAACTGCTTAACAGTAATATCTGGCGGATCATCTACAGAATCAATATGTTTTCCAGGAATTTTGGGACAACCCTCTTCATGGACCCCCAGTTCTAACTGGTCATTCATAGATTTGCCTATATGAACACTATTTGTCTTGTCCAATGAATAAGGCAGCTCTCTCTCAAGAACCACCTTAGGATCAGGCAGTTCCAAACCTTGCTCTAAAATGATCTCTGCATCATATCTGGTTATTCCTCTTCTCTTGAGTTCTGCAGCTTTTAGAAGATGAGCTCCTGAATTTAAGTATTTAGCTCTGCTATCCCATGATTCTATGAGAGAAAAAAAAATATCTTTTATATGATTGGTTAAATTTGGGAACTTATCATTCTTATAAAGTTTGCCGATTCTTGTTTGAGAGAAGTAATCCACAGAAAACACAAAACAAAAATCCTTGCTCAGTATCTTATTTAGTCTCTGACCACTATCAGCAAGGAATCAACTCTTCAATCAATAAGCTTTATAAAACAATTTATAAAAAGCATGAAAATTTTATCCATCAAAAATCTCGTCCAAAGAATGACAAAATCGGGAGTAAAAGTTATATGGTATTTAACTCAAATAGAAGTACCATCACATGTTTCGAAAAGAGTAATCTTGGTCTGCTAATAACCTACCATTAGCTGAAGTTATAAAACCATTAATATTGGGTTGTTTTAATTCCGGTTGTGTTTTAATCCGGTTCAATCTGTCATCAGTATCTCTCAATTTATAACCTTTATCTTCTTCAGGGTCTATTATCAACTGTTGTTTATTTTTTGGTTCATACGCTCCCATCTGTCGTCTGCAATATAAAGAAATGTAAAACTTACAAAAACACATCACCATGATAGCGATTGTTTATGACGTAACTTTTGAATATTCATTACTAGATAAACTGGCCAATGTATCACAGTACAATATATGTTGAAAAGATGAAAATCCCCACACTGATTTTGGTCTTTAACAAGATAAATATAGTTTTTTTAATAACAACACTGCAACAGTGGCCACATGACATCAAAAGGGGGATAACAGGCAACTCTTTCCGTATTTATAATTATAAGAATTTTGAAAGTGTACTGGAGACGGGGGTTCTCCACCAAGAAGAGACACCACCACACAGCAATAATGTAACCTACATGTCAATGTGGCTCTTGATACATGTCCATTATACCTGGCATAGGTCTTACCTTTCACATGTCTCACATTCACAATAACTATTTTTATCACCAAAAAAGTCTTCACCATAAAGACAAGTAATTTCTTCACCTTCTTCAATATCTCGTAATGCTTTAACACAGGCTGTATCTCTACCAGTTGATACAAACTACAATAATCAAAGGTTCATTTTCTGAATAAATAAGTGAACTGAATTGTCCGAGGTGCCAAGATAGACCTCTTTTAGTGGATATCACCATAAAATAAATAGTTTATCAGAGTGTCCTATCACCTTGGATAGATAAGATTTCGTGCAAAACCCTTGAGCTGTGACTAATCCAGCCAACCCAACACACAATATTTTGTACACTCTGACAAATCAAACATCATATTGACAAGTCTGGTTCTAGACTACATTTTTGGCCCTTATCTAACTGAAAGTTTCAAGACATATTTCTTTGGAGATGAGAAGCTTGATCACAGTGCTTGGAATATCAATTTTAGTCAGTTGACAGGGACACTAAAATCATGCAATGTTCTACATAATACTTGGGTACCTACCTTACAATTTGGTCTACAATCATGATTAATAAAAGCTGCAGGACCTAACCATAACTGAGCACAGTTTTTACGGCAAGAGAACATAACACTAAAATCATTTTTCCCTGGACGTAAATAAGTAGCTTCTTCTGCTGGTGTTAATTCTGCTATACATCCTACTAACATTGGTATCTTATCATTTCTCTTCCTGATATACAAAACAAAATTCATGAACTTCAAATCATTATTCTATGATTTTCTGATATTTTTCCATGGCCCATGGTAATCTAACAAGGTTTGTGATGGAGTCCTGTTCTAATGACATTATTTTTAACCAGTTAAAGATTTCATTCAGAACCTGTTTCTTGAAAACAAGGATGAATTATGGGATAGTAAAGAAGAGCAATATGACAGCCTCACTAGGTTTCCCCATTCTATGATTTGTCATTGTTATCAAGAAGCAAATCCTAAATGACACGCTTTTAGAGGTTAAACTCAACCTCATTTGAGTGCTAGATAACAGAGACTAAAAAATTATAACCTTATTCTAATTAAACTGTTCAAAAACAATCTATATGATACTTACCACTGTTTAGTTGTACAGATTTTACCACCAACTTGCCCTTCTGAAGAATATCTATGACAGGGCATCAACCTGAATCCAGCACGCTTATCAAACATACGGAAATACCGAAACACCTGTAATAGTAACACAGAAACTATGTGGACATGCCCAGTGGTAGATTGAAATTGGTTGAATATATCGGCTGTACAAGCCTGGATATAGTGTGTCAATCATCTATTTGACCCTTCAACTTTCTTTTGAACTCTTCCGAAGATGCATACTTTCCATCAATATGAAGCTGTATACATGTTTGTTTCGTAGAGCTCAAATTTAAAATTGGGGTATTTTTGTTGCATTTTATAGGGTACCTGTACTGTAGTGTTGGCCTCCCCTTGAACATTTTCTTATCCAGGAAGGCAGAGTAAGCACCTAACGCGATTTTCAGTTTTTTTCTCACCAGAGGAAGGGGCCATGGCACCACGCCACAGATCAATACAACAAAAGAACTGGCTACTTGAGGTACCTATCCTAGTATGATATGAATATGATTAGCCTGTAATAATAATTATCAAATATTTTCTAAGCACACAGCTGTCAGCACCAGACCCCCCCCACCCCCCCCACACTGGACATCATACCTCAGCTAATCACACATTAGTAGTATAACAGACTTACATGTTCTTTAAATGTTTGTTGTTGTGATTTAGATTTAATAATATAAGATGATCTACAACATTCAACTGACATCAAAGATTTAAAACATTTCTCATAACTCTGTGTTTTAATAAATTCTTCCACTACGCCTTTTAATTCTCTTTTACTTTTTAATGGACGGTGCCTAAAAATAACAATTTCATACATAATTTATTCATAGTTTTGTGTTGGTAGTTGGCTCATCTTTATATTATGGGAAATTTATGTTTTGTATCATGTTTTTCTGTGGGTGACACCACTTGACAGACATGATCCTTAGCTATTGTTGTGCATCTCTAGTGTTTCTACACTAAATAACGGTATTCTGTTAAATCAAGTCAGAGAAATTTGACAGTATAATCAATTTTTCACAGTCAAACTTTTTTAATGTCAGTCATTTCAACTCACATCATTGGACAAAGTAGAAATTTTGCAACTTACCAGATAGCAACCTAAACCATGTTAAACATATGATTGATAAGCTCGATCAGTCGCAAAATTTACTAAGTTTTCATATGAAAAGAGATAAAGGTCTACTCACCTGACATTCATTTTGTGTGTTTGGAAACCAAGATATGGATCTAAAACTAAACTTGTAGCTAAGTCATCATTTTCTGATAATTCTTTACAAGTCATACCAGTTGATGGCGTATACCTTGAACTGTATGACATTCTGAAAAAGTTGTTTCAAACTTTTTTTAACCAAATAACTATTTTTATTTTTTCACCCAAATTTTGTAATTCTAATGATGTAAGGGGGACAACTCCATTTAAAATTCCTAAATCAGACTACAAATAATGTTTCTACATTAGCATTCTTTCACGGTCGAGTATTTCTTAATGAATATATCAAATCAAGAAATGTTGTTCAACGACACACCAAAAGAAGAATAAGGATTTAACTCTTTAATAAGGACAAAAGTTTGACTTCGTGGTAGACATTTTGAGCTCTTTCCTTTGTTACCAAAAATGGGTCACTAAACCAGGTCGATGTCCTTTTCTTTCAAAAACCTGAGCTCTCGACTGCATTTCATCATCAAAAACTCTAAGAGTAAACATCATTTAAAGTAAGGCATATTCTCATTTTCACGAATGACCATTTGTCTTGAATTGACGTAGAAAATAATGGTTTGCTAGCTTGCAATAATCAATTTGCAGGCAAAATTTTGGAGGCTAATAATGTTTCACATTGCGGCCATATCGACGGGCGGCTGAATATCTGGTCAAGAGTTTTTCTGTAGAACATTTTTGAGAGCAATAAAACGGGTAATTATAAACAGAAAACTATTAATATTTTAAACAAAATTGACAAACTAAACTTTTAATATAACGATAAGGGTATTCAATGAGAAAATTACCTGAAATATTTCGAGAAAAATGCTTCTCAATTTGATACATCGGTAGTAAATTTCAACCAAAATGGCTGCCAACAAAACTGTCAACAGAAAGTAGGAAAAAATAGTTCCTTAGTAATTTTTGGAAAATGAGATTGCATTTTTAAAATTGCAAAAATTGATGTGGCTGTAATAAATGCAATTTGTTCCAAATTTTAAATGGATTTTGCAAATTAGTTCTCCGATGTAGTTATATTTTCGTCAGATTTCGAAATATAAGTTCTTGTCGCGTAGTAATATTAGGTATATATCGAGCAGTCACTATTATAGTACTTTTAATGCCCGCCCATGTAATGAGCCTTCAGGGCTAATTATAACGCCCTGCTATGTTTGCCCTGCAATATGTGCACTTTCATAAAACAGTGTGAGTTTTTACACACAATGACTCTCAAATACCATTCACAAAAAAATGAAAAGAATTATATTTAAGGTAGCCTACCTAGATATGTAAAAGTTCGATCTATATGTAAAATATGCCAATTGCCTATGTAGTAAATAGAAATATAAATATAAAGATAATAAAAGATATTAGCGTATTTTCCCTGTGAATAGGCTTTTCTTTTAAAGGGAATTGTAAATATTAAGTGTTTGATGACGTCACTCATAGCAGATAAGACCCTTCGCTATACTTGAAGTCATCAAACACTTAGTTTTAGTGAAATTGCAAGAACCACAGACGTCTGATTGAAAAATTTAATTGTGCAAATTGATACTATCACATTCAAAATTTAGAAAACCCTTTCACTTCTCATCATAACTTCATTAACTATAACTGTAGACCCAATTACGTTAGCCACACTAACAGTCAAATCCTCAATGACCTATGCCTACGTTTTTTTTATTGAATTACATGGGGATCTTACGTCAGGTCTTGTATCTTAACAGTGACACGGGGTAGCTGTAAATGAGCCCCACAACTGGTAAAGGAGACGATCAAATAGTTATAATTATAAACTAGAATTATCTATTCTATAGAGCTTCACACTTCTGAACACATATGGATTTGAAGGCTCAAATTTCGACGTTGAGCTATGAGTATGAACACTTTACTGATTGGCTAAGCTTTAAAAAAAGCCCTTTTCTGAAACTTAAGTATTATTAGTACAAAAAATGGCGCAACTGTCCCTATAATGCCAATAACCATTATTATTGTTATTAATGTCTCAAAAGAAGTTATTGATTAATTATGTAAGTTTCAAAATATTTTGCAGGATGCCTTCAAACATTGAAATAAAAGCCAAAATCGATGACTTACAACCTTTCAAACAGAAAGCAGGTGTTCTAAGCGGTTCGGAAGCTACAGTACTGGCTCAGGAGGATACTTTTTTTAATACACCAAACGGCAGATTGAAACTACGACAGATAGGAAACGAGAAGAACTCTGAACTGATTTTTTATAATAGACCAGATCAAAAAGGACCTAAATTTTCAGAGTATCATATTACTCTCGTAAATGATCCTGAAAATTTGAAGGTAAGATATCGAGACGGGCAAAGGATCTGAGAATTTGAAGGTAAGTGAACATAACAAGAAGGGCCTGGTAAGTTATGGAGATTATCGCAAAGTGTATGAAAATCTGAAGGTAAGTGAGCAAGGCTATCGCAAAGGGTGTGAAAATCTAAAGTTAAGTGAGCGAGACTACCACAAACAACCAATCGAAAATGGAAGCTCGAAGCTATAGAGAACCATTCTTAGCATAATGACAGACATCTATGATCAGAATTTATGAAGGCATCTCGTTTATAATTCCAGGTCACACTAGGAAAAGCGTATGGAATAAAGGGCGTAGTAAAGAAAACAAGATATCTGTATATAGTTGGTCAAACAAGAATACATATTGATGATGTCGATAAGTTAGGTAGCTTTATGGAGTTGGAGGTTTGTATTTTATTTTCCCCCCCACAAAATCTGATTTTGATAGTTGGCAATGCCTAGATAAAGTATCTGCGACATAAGGTTGATAAAACGAGGAAATTTACGTAATTACGTAATTTACAATAGATTTTTCATATTTGATAAAAAGGAGAAGTCTATTATCGAGGGAAATTATCTGAGTCCCATCTAGGCATTATTACGCCATCATCCCAATTGATGTTTTATGCCGTAATTAAAGGTATACTGCCTTTTAAGATGATCCAAAACATTGAAATTTCAAAACTTGCTTTGTTCATCGGTGAACTAGCCTGGTATCATAACTATATGACAGAATCCCTTTATAAATCCAATAAATCCATAAAACTAAATACTTTTGAAACACGCTTAGAAATGTTTTCCAATGAAGGTAAGTTCAAGTTATAGTTTTATGCCTAACTTTGAAACTATAATAAAATCTCATAGTAACAATTTATTTGAAGTTGATGGCAAACATACATCTAACCATTTAACTGTAGGAACAAAGAGTTCAAATGGTGAAGCCTACACAAATAAAACCAAACGATTTAACCTGTGTTGAACTGAAAAGCTTTCCATCATAAATGCCCCTAAGCACACTTCTTTAAAAAAAAGTTTCCTAGAAATATAACTTCTTTGAGTGGCATTTAGTAACTGGGGTATGAATAACTGGACGCAATTACATGGATAACAATTACTTTAATAAATGACTTGCAACGTTTCGACGATGATGCTTT